CCCGCCCCGAGGCCCGCCGCCAGTGTCTCCGCGACTGGCCGGCACAGGCGCGCGCCCTGAGCGCAGCAGTGCCCGGAGCCCAGGCGCCGGAAGCTCGGCACCGGAAGCCGGGGGCCCGCGCCATTTCCTCGGCTCTCTAGGACGCGCCTCTCGGTGGCGGCCCCGAGTTAACCCTTCAGCTGCCGGGCCCGCCGCGGGACGAGGCCGGCTCTGTAGAGGAACTAAGACCTCACCTCTAAATCCCGGGGCTCTGCTGTAAGCTCGGCCAAAGAGCTGGCGTGCATCGGACACTAACGTTCAGAAGAAGGTCCGCTTCCTCGGCGTCCTTAGAGCTCTGGCAGGAGGGCCTGCAAAAGAAGCCGGAGCCATCGCCAGGCGCCTGCTTGGGAGAGAGCAGTGGCTGCCCCAGGGCCTTGCCTGCCTCCAGCTGTCACTATCCTGCCCTTTAAGGCCAAAGGCCTGGAGGAACGCCCTCCCTATCCCTGTCTAGTCCGCTTGCATTCATCCTCACCACGTTGTAGGCGGCAAACCGCCAACAAAGCCATTCCGACCCCTCCAGCCGAATTAACTAGAAGTGCCCAACCTCCCCCACCAGTTACCACTTTACATTTTCCAGGGCCTCCTTTCAGCAGCCAGGCTTATGCGGCTCCCTACTTCGGGGAACTCTGCTGTCCCTGGTTTCGGGACCCTATTCTCTTCCTGCTTGCTTTCTTTTTGTTTTCTTCCCAGTTCCCATTCAGGGTCTAGCTTCAGACTCTGAAGCCAAGATACCTGGGCTCATAATCCTGGCTTTATTTACCACTTACTAGCTGGGTGACCTCCGTTAACTACATAACCTCTTTGTGCCTGACTTTTCCAATCTTAACTGGGGGTAATAATAGTAGATAGGGATGTTGTGAGCAGTAAGTGAGTTTTTTGTGTGTGTGAAGTTCTTAGAATAATGGCTGACCTATAGTAAGCGAGGCCTTCACTAAAATGGAAGGAAACCCTGAGATTCCTTTGAGCCAGAGGAGGCAAGATTTAAGCCAGAAGTGACAGCAGTTATTTTGCTGGACTGAGATGTCCGTAAGTCCCCTTTCTACTCAGTGGAATGCAAGTTTGGTATAGAAGTTTATAAAGTGGAAAAGTACCATGCTGGTACCTTCCTGAGTTTTTATTCCTCCGTCTATCCCTCTGTGGTTCAAAGGGTAGCAAGAAAGGGATAGAACTTAAGAAAATGAGAGGTCCCAAAGGCTGTTACAAATGAAAACTACTAGAAAATATTTGTCTCTTGATGAGCCGCCACAAGAGGTACAAGGCATTGACATGAAGCATTGTTGGCAAAACAAGTGAACCTGAATCAAATTAGGTTTCTAGATCCTAGTAGTTGCATATCGGTGAGATTCAGAAGCAAGTTAGCATTTTTCACACTGCACAGCACATTAGAATTATTGGGGAGCGTTAAAGCATCTTGATATCTTGGTTGCAACCAAGATCAATTCAATCAGAAGGTCGAAGGATGGAACTTAGGTGTGCATAACTATAAAATTTTCATAGGTAGTTGTGATATGCAGGTACGTTTGAGAATTAATGAGCTCAATGGTACTTAAAAGAAGCAATAAATAAAATTCAGAATGTGGGATATTCCATAGGACAGAAAAACCTGGATCCTCAACAAATACATGGCATTTTTTGAAAAGGCAGCAGAGAAAAGGGAACTGTTTTAAATTAAAGGAGACCGAATAGATGTATCAGCCAAATGCAAACCTTATTTGGAAACTGATCAGAGCAAAACAGCTGTAAAAACACATTTGGGACAACTGGGAAAACTAAAACACAATGATATTAAGGAGTTACTATCAATTTAGTTGTCATAATGATATTGGGGTTATGTTAAGGAAAAAAGGCCTCATTTGATAGAAATTTATACTGAGGTACTTGTCGGTGTACTGATATAATGTCTGGATTTGCTTTAAAATAATCATAACTAGGGGCACCTGGTGGCTCAGTTTAGCCTCAGACTCTTGATCTCAGCTCAGGTCTTAAGCTCTGAGTTTGGGCCCCGTGTTGGGCTCCACACTGGGCATGGAGCCTACCTAAAATTAATAAATAAAATACTCAGAACTAGAGAAAACACACAAAGAAAGGTACCGCGATAGCTGTTGAAGTTGAGCGAGAGGCATAGGGGTTCACTGTAATATGCTCTTTACACTTATACATATTTGAAGTTTTCCACAGAAATTTGCTTTTTAAGTATACAAAGTCCTACTTCTTTCTTGAATAATTCAGTCCAAAAGCCTTTAAGTGGTGCCAGGACGCTGGGATCATGACCTGCTTAACTTTAACCAGGTGCCCCACTGTAGACCTATTTTAACCCCTACACTGCTTTTCCCTGTTGAGGAGCAGTCATCTTGCTGCCAGAGAAAATTAAAAAATGATAGTATGGCTATATGACCTTTTAAAGATATGATCAACTTTTTTTAAAGATTTTATTTTTTAAGTAATCTCTACACCCAACATGGGGCTCAAACTCACAACCCCAAGACCAAGAGTCCCGTGCTTGCTGACTGAGCCAGCCAAGGACCCCAATATGATCAGCTTTTAAAGACCCCTAGAAACTAAAAGACTCACTTCTCTGCTGAGCACAGAGAAATTTAGGGGCTGCTCAAGTTCCTCACATAATTGGTAGCAAAGTTAGGACTAGAAGCTTTGTTATTCAGAGCTTCAGTTATCCAGTGAAATTTTTACCCATTATTGTTTCTCATGAACTCATGAACAGTGCCCCTCATCTATACTATTCATCAGTCACTGTCCAGGTAACAAGGGTTACTCTCTCAGCTCGGGGAATTTAGAGTCCCATGAATAAGACTGGAATTTCAGTCATCCCTGAAGAAGCAGATTCAGGAGAGTAGAAAATAGAATTTGAGAACATGGGAAAGAAGTACATTACACCAAGTGCTTATATTTCCCCATTATATTCATTATGTTGAAAACTATAAGTAGGTATCTTTGATTTAACTCTGAGGTCTCTAAAAGTCCCTCAGATGGTACATTTCTTCTTGTTTATTGCTTAAAGACATAAAAACTTAATCCTGACACATCTTAATGGAAATATTAAGATCAAATTAAGTGTCCAAGTAACAGTTGAGATGTTGCTATAATTGTTAGAGGCAGGTCTGACCCTTCTAGGCATCAGTATATAGAAGTCTTCAGAACAATGGAGAAGAAACAATTCTCCAACCTGCATAGAAACCTTAAAAATGCCTACGTGTTAGGTATTTTGTATTAAGGGAATCAACCATATAGATTCTTATGAAACTGTTACAACATGAACTGTACTAGTTCCAAAATCATACAGTATTTTTTCCTAATTCTGTATCCTCTGTGTGAGACTACAGATGATTCAAAAAATTTATTTTATATGTTGCATCAGGAAAAATAGGATGCTCCTTTGTCTACACCTATTGTTTATAGAGCTGGGAGTTGGGTGAGGTGAGAGAGGCACTTAGGTCACAGAATTTAAGAGAGTGGATGTGTCCTTAGATTTGGGCCCTCAGTGCCTCTCTCGCCTCACCCTACTCCTGGCTCTGTATAGACACAACATTAGAATCCATTAAGCATTTTTATATTTATC